GCTAAGTTAAGTGGCAAGGGTCAAGTGGGCACTATAGTTCCAGCAGTCGAGAAGTGGAATACAGAAAAGCCAGGTGAGAAACAGCAAGGAGACTCCTAGCAGTACCTTACCTAGAAAATGCAAAGTTTGAGAGAGCAGACCTGGTTAGCACCAGCGACCAGAAGCAAACGCTAATCAGGGTCTCTTTGCTCCCCGACCTGCTTTCCTGTTCCTCTTGAGGTTGAGCAGGGAGTAGAGCGTGGGCTAGAGGGTCCCTGGTTTGGGCACTAACAGGTCTAATGGATGCAACTTTGAGCCTTTAGACTATGAGACCAGGTCTAATGGATGCAACTTTGAGCCTTTAGACTATGCATGGAGAACTAAACTTTTAGGGTGATTACCACTACATTTCGTGGAATCTACATGAGATATATGGGAAATAATCTAATGCAAATCTGGGAGATGGGATAATGGGGAGAGAACTGATCTTTTGGTCTCTGTGCATGAAGAAATGAACCAATCTACATCTATAAAACCATGAGAGAGAAGACAGAATAGTCAGCTGTAGGTCTGCTTAGATTTTAATTGTCCAGTATAATTTGTGTCAGGATCTGATACCTTCTTTTGACAGTGGAGAGAATTAGAAAGTATTTTTCCCATATCTGCGATCGTTGGTTACATAAAAGAAGGATGAGATGGTTTCTGCCCTCCTGGAATCTATGGTCTAGCTGCAAAAGAAAGAAAATGGAAAAACGGTAAAAAGGAAAGAACAAACCATCTCCATTACTACAGCAGTGCCACCTGAAGCCCCATGGTTTGAGCAGAGAAGGCACTGCCCGGAATTTTCAGGTCGGAAGTAATGGGCCAAGTGGCCATCTCTGCTCATGCCTTCCCACCTGAAATTGCTCTTCTTTTGGGGTGCTCTCTGATTCCACTATTCCCACTATTTCTCTGGTCCAAACATGGATCTAAACCCCTCCCATGATCCCCTTAGCACAGCTGTATAAGGCTGGATTTAACCAAATGATATAAATCAGGGTCAACAAAGGGATTCCGAGTCTTGAAGACTTAGTCCCATCCCACGTTCTGTTTTAAAGTTATTTTTTCTTTTTTGCACCAGAGAAAAGCAGATTATCATAGGCAGAGCCTTGGCCAGCTTCCTCCTTCTTGTACAGGATCCTCTTACTTCCTCATTTCGAGGCATTCTCCCAATCTCTTTGCCATCTTCTGAGCCAAGGTCAATGATTCCAGTTCTGGTGTGAGCGGGAACAACCTTTCCGGAGGACAATTTGACAGTACTGTTGAAAAAAAAATCTTTAAAATATGCATTGATGTCGTTGTTGTTACTCAGTTGTGACACAGCTGTTCCATTTATAGAAATATTCTAAGGAACTAAAAATAGAATGTGGACAAAGATTTCAGCTGCAGCACCCATCAGAGCACTATTTACATAATAATGAAAGATGGTACACAAGCCGCATGTTCAAACCTGGGGGTTAATTAAATAAATTATGGTCTATGTCTATAATAAAATACTGCAGGGCCATTAATAATATTTTATAACTTTGTTGACAGGAAATTATTCATGATCTATTGTGACATTATAAAAAAGCAGGCTATAAGAATTACAGTATATCCGTTTTTGTTTAAAAATCACACACATACATGTTCTTCTCCTGCCATTTGTCAGGCTTTTCATCCCAAGTAATTTATGGGTTTCCCTGAGGAATGCCTACGTCTTACGAATGCCCAGCTCCGTATTACAGTTTGTCCCTCAATGAAATCACGGTATTAACCAGTACATTTCCAAAGTCTAGAAATATAAGGACCTGGGCAGAATGCACCCATGTGGCGCTGGCACTTCTTAACTAGTCCCCTTTGGGACACACCCCCAAGGTGAAGTTATACTTTCACCCTCTCTGTGGTTGCTGTTTCACGCTCCTAAACTCCTGTGGATAGCTCTTGGACAGAGGGAAGAAACCAAGTTCAGAGACAGTACTGTCTAAAACAGGGACCCTTGTCCCAGGATTCGTGGACAGAATCCAGAGTCCATAATCTTGGGGGGAAAAACTTGTACCTTCATGCTCACTAACTTGTAACTGAAATTCCCCATGCGCTTATTCACTTATGCATGCAGGCAGCAAACCACAGCA